TGGTTGAAATTCTACGATATCCCGATACTTGCCATGTTCATATTCTAGAAGAGCAATTATTATTTCCGTATCAAAGGCGAGAAATTTATATACGCGAAAAACGAGAGAATATTTTATGATATTGAATATTGTACAAGCATTCGTATCTAAATGCAAATTCTCACGTGGATAAAGGCTAATGTAAAATTTGAATATAAACATCCTTTGTCTTTAATGTATATAAATTTGGAAATTTTCAAAGAAAAAGATTATCCTGGAATTATAATAAAACATTTGTTAATTTGCGTTCAATAACGCGTTCAGTAACGCAAATCTGCAGAAATTTGTATTTATTTAAAATTAAAAAATTTCTCTACCTTTTTTCGATTTCATTTAGCCGAAATAAAAAAAATACATTTTTTGTTACAGCGCAATATTTATGGTTCATATATTCGGAGAGATGCAGATACAAAGAGACGACGGAAAAAAATCGAAAACCCGACAAAATTGAAAAGCAGTGAAAGATAAAACAAAAAAACGAATGTTTCGTTGTTGCGTTATCGTTTGTATAAAAAAGTAATATTTTCTTCAAAAAAAAAAAACGTTACATATATTTTCTAAGTTGACTCAAATACGTGCGTGTTATTTGTTGAATGTAAGTTTCGATGACTCTGTCAATGCAACAGGTAGATGCGTGGAGGATTGATCACTATTAATCGTACCGCTGTAATTCACACAAGATTCTCCGCTCTCCTCTTTTTTGGCGCTTTGATACGCGTGCTTCTGCATATCGTGGCGGGTAGGTGCAATGGTCCGCAAGTTTTTCCGCATCAGTGCTTCTGTATCCCCGTGATATTTTCCCACGTCCCCGATTGTACGTTCTTGACGTGCCTTCATTTTTTCCTCGCTCTTCGAGCGCATTAAATTTTTACGACACGTTTCACCGCATATTTTGCCGGCGCACGAGAACGTGCTCTCGACGAGCGTCGCGTCAACCACTTCGACGGGATTTCTCTGTGAACGTTCCGATTTAGGTGCATCCTTCACAACATGGCCGACGCTCGTAGCAGCGAGCTTTACGACGTTCTTGCACGCGTCGTGCACTTGCGACCAAATTTTGCTCATCTGTAAACTCGTCCAAAGAGAGTAATCGCGCGTCTCGTGATGGTTGCCGTCTGCGTTTATATTGTCACTCTTCGTTTGCGATCTGTGAAACATTCGTGGATAATTTGCAACCAGCTTTTAACATGCTTTTTATTAGTTCAATTTAAAAGAAGAATCGATTTTCAACTAATTAAAGAATCTGAGAAAGAAATGCAACATGACATATGTTAAACTCTATATGTAGCAAACTAAAATTATATAGGTATTATATAATAAAAGATTTATTCTTGGGATCACTAATATATTACTGTTTTATTTTATTTGTAACGTTACAATTTTTTAAATTATGTTATTTAAGTTTGCTACATATAGAATTTAAGAGATTTATATTGCACTTCTATTTTAGATTCTTTAATTAGTAAAAAGTTGATTTTTCCTTTAAATTTAATTAAATAAAGGAGGCTCAAATAGATATCTTTGTTTTGAAATTTTAATGGTTTCAAAGAGTTTTCGGATTCGCGAAGCAAATCAGACCAGTTTAAATCAAACGATTAAGAAAAAAGAAACAGGTAAAGTTTCATTAAAATCCTGATTATTTCATGTAAAAAAATAATAATGAAAGCGTGATATATAATGCGTTTTGAAATTTTAATGGTTTCAGAGAGTTTTCGGATTCGCGAAGCAAATCAGATCAGTTTAAATCAAACGATTAAGAAAAAAGAAACAGGTAAAGTTTCATTAAAATCCTGATTATTTCATGTAAAAAAATAATAATGAAAGCGTATAATATATAATGAATATATAAATGATATATTATATAAAATAACAATAATTAGGACTCTGAAAAATGAGAGCAATTTTCAAAGCAATATACAGAACGAGAGAAAAGTGAAGAATTCTATTTATCGGAAATAGATGTATGCTGTAATACCAAAATCATGCGAGGACTAACGTTGCTTCGACCATTTCCAGGCTCTTGCGCTTCCTTATCTCCGCGCTTTCGCTCAATTGGACACGAATCGCCTCTTCCGCCACTTCGAATCCACTCCGCGGGCGGATCCGCCTTTTTCCCCGGGATGCTGGTTTGAACGCGACGGTTTCGCGACAACGCAGTCTGCGCAACGCCGTCCGATACAGTTGTCTCTCCACGCGCCTGTATCCCATGTATCGATGACTTTCAATGAATCTGATTTATATGACCGATCGCCGTCTTTCTCCACCACCGTTGTCGTCGTCGTCCGCCATTCGCTCTTTCCAGAACGCGTGTCAATTTCACATAGCGGTGCATCCACGGGACGTGAATCGCGAAGATCAGTAACGTTTCCGCCAGACTCGGCGAGTTTCCGGTTTGTGCTCGCCGAACTTCCTTTCTCTCCGTCGCAATTCGTGCACCATTCGACTCCATCTGGAGAATATTCAGCTTCTGTTGCGAGTTCAAGCGCGATATCAGATTCGAGTCGCTCGACCTCTTCTCTTTGATGCTTCTTCGGAAGATCAGAATTTTCAAACAATTTTGTCGTTCGTGACATCAGGAGACAACGGTCGTGTTGCATATTTATGTTGGAATTGCACTCGTTTGAGTTACAGAAACATCGGTGGCTCTTCGTGCGGGTATATTCAGGATAAAAGTACTCGGCCATCCAATCAGTTTGCATCTCGGCATTGAAATCAAAACCATCTGTATTGTAATCCTCCCGATCACAAATGTGATATTCTTGATGTGTGTCGTTAAAAATTGAACAGCAGTAGTTTGTGGTACATTTCCCTGTGTCGACACGTGTTTCGTCTGTGTTCAATATCGGATATCGTACGTTATCAATATCAACCATCGTGTTATCGTGATGACAGCATTGCATTGAATCAAGAATTTCATGAGGCATACAAAGCGACTGCGTATTATTTTTTACATGTAACTTTTGTTGGCCATTTAATGTATTTTTGAATTTTGTTGGTGCATTGACAGTCGTATTGGCACTCTTATGTAATATGTTATTCATTGACTTTCTCGAATAATTTCTACATTTGCGTTTTGTTGACCTCTGAGTTTTCTTCACTTTGTTGCCATTTTCCAAACAAAGCACGGTCAATATAGAATTGTCGATCATTTTCTTCATCACTTTTCTTGGACTGCGATTCCACGTTGAATATTGTTTCCTGAAAAAGATTGACATACGTGGGATTTTTAAAGAATTTAGAAAATCTTTAAATATCGATCTCTGTTTGTTGTAGAAAAAATTCATACTTTGGTACTGCGACAAATTTCATTTCAGGTACTAGATTGTGCGTGGAAATAATGTTGATTTTTATGCCGCCGCGGGAAGTGTCATATATATTATTGCTAAGATCAATAATCATACCATCGGGTATTTTGTCACGTGTTTTTCTTTTACGATTCGATTTGCATTGAGATTCATCTTCGTTCTTTGAGGGAGTTCTGTCATTTTTGACTGTTTCCTTGCAAGATTCCTTTTGTATTGTGTTTTCGCGCCTAGAAGATACGCACGTTTCAGAATAATCGTTTGCGAGCTCATCAATCTTTCCCTGATCCAATTTAAAAGCGCATATTTCATTTAAAGAACCGTCTCCATAACTTTTATCCAGTGGCTTGTTGTCTTCTTGCGATATGAAATCGCAGACGTTATATGTTGCACCGGAATATAGAAATGGGCTATTTTTGTATCTGCAACTTTTGTTTCCATCTTGTGACAGATCTGTCGGTAGCTCGGCTGTCAAGATTTCTGGTCGAATGAGCTGCTCAGCATGGCAGCTGTAAAATTGACAAACAAGTGGATTACGATTATAATATTGAATTATAATAATTATAATATTAAATGTCATGCAATAATTGGATGATCAGAGCAATAATTATTTGCAAATAATTATCTGTAGCAATAATTATCTGTAATATAGATTGAAAATAGTGCAAAAAAATAATAACTTAGAATGATAATGAGAAACGCAGAATTGTGAAATCGCATGTCGACGCAAACTCGTGCTTAAATGATAATTAGTAATGTATTAGTAATAATTAGTAATGATAATTAGTAATGATAAGTAGTAATTGTCATATGCTAAATTAAGTAGTGATTGCCATACATTATTGTATTGATTATGCTGCTCATTATTGTTGTATTATACTTTGAAATTATTTGTTTTTCTTTCTTACGTGGTAAATGGAATCTCGTTCATTGGCAAGTGGGCCATTAAAATGTAAATATACAGAATTGGAGTATATATACTAGTAAATTTTGAATTTAGTGAGGTTAGTTGCCATGATCCTGACGTCCAAAGTTTTGGTTATATTTGGAGACTTTCGGAAACAATGGAGCGAATGGACTTGATGCACAACGCATGTCGCGCGCGCGTTATTTCTACGTGCGATCTGTTTCGCTATCCCTTCTCTCTTTTATCACACAATTTCTGAATTTTTAAATCTACAATAAAATTGTTTTTATTGCTAAAAAAAGAAAATAAATTGTCGACCTTAAATTTTCATGAAACTTTGTAATATCTCGTGTAGTAATATCGTTTCTACATGATCGAAGCGACTAATAATGAGTGAGATGTGTACGAGAAATTTATAAAAAAATGTACATTTAGACAGTGTATGTACACCGAGTACTCCATTTTAGCGACGAGTTTTAGTGTGGTTCTGGCATGCGGCAAAATACATTTTTTCCACGAATGTTGCAATTTTCCATTATTTACGTCGGTATAATCCGACGGTGCGTATCAGGTTGAAAGCCGGCGTAAAATGTAATACGCGCTTTTGTAATTTGACTGTCAGTTGCAATCGACCTGCCCGCAGTAGCTATATTTGTAAAGGAACGTAATAGGCTTTATGGTGAGTGGCGTGTATCTCTTTCCCAGCGAAGCTTTGTGTATTCTCGTATCGTCTTTCCATTCATTAAAACAGTGAAGGTGAACACTCCTTGATTTATCAAAATCCATGGAAGACAAAAATGGAAAGCTACATTGTTAAATTCGTAATGTCAAACTCAATTCCAGTCTCAATTTCAGTCATTTTTAATCATTAATTTCTGTATCATTCGTTTGTTTCATTTGATTAAAACAATAGAGTCAAACAATTTAACTTAAGAAAATGTATTAAATTTGACTCAAATTAATTTATTACTTATACCAAGTGCACACGTTAATGTGAACAGTGTTTACTTTGAAACTAACCATGGAAATAAATTGATTTACATTTTGTTACAGACGAAAGTTAAAATTAACAAAATGTTATTATATTTTACTCAAGGGATTGGGTTATCATTGCTCCTTTAATATCTAATAGAAGAAAAATATATATGTGATATACACTATTTTAAAAACCGATCGAGACCGAAAGATAATAATGCAAAATTTAAATGCAGAATGTAATACGAATCGATGGTAATACCATATCCATGTCTCTAGCTGTTTAAGATCGAACTACATTGTCGCCTATTTCGTCCCACGATTTTCCATACGACGAGCGACGGATTTTACGTCGTGTTACTGCTATTGCGGCTTCACATATGCATGCATGTACCGACTCGTGCGCTCTGGCAGACCCAAAAAGAGCGACGCGGGCTGACGTTGGAGCGACGGGAGGACTGTCGCGCGCAGTGATGGATGTCGGCAGGCTTAAATTTTGCGAAATTCCGGGCTCTCCCTGTTGCCGTCGCTATTTCCAGTCCGTTCCTCGCTCTCTCCCTTCCTTCATATCGTCCCTTCCCTCATATCAGGTGGAAAACGCGTGACACTGACGAACTTTCAAATAAAGCTAGCGAGATGCCTTATCTAAAAATTTCTATTTTCGTTCCCTCCGTCATCCCAAAAAGTTCGATATCATTCATTTCCACCTCTGGTACATAAAGTATTTACAAATCCAATAGAACATTTTGCACCCTCTAAGATAGTCTGAGGACTAGAATCTTTAGGAGAGCTGAAGATCAAGAAGATACTCTCTCTCTCTTTTTTGTTAGCTTAGTGAAAGCCTTCGGCTACTTTTTAGAAAGCGGGGTATAAGAGATTGTATTCTGACGTCCCTCAATAGAGGGATCAGCACAGTCCCTAGAATCCTCGCGTATTTTGCATAGGTAATTCACCGGTGCTTTTCAATCTTGGAATGAAACGTCTCGAGTGCGTACGCCTTAATAGTAGTTTCACCAATGATGCGATCTTGAGGCGAGCAAGACAGGGGCAGTGGATCGAAGTCCCTCGTCTGCCTATTTAAGGATAATGTACTTTCGCCGATGGGTGATGCATAACGATCGTTATGGATTTACGGGACCGGTATAGTGAAAGTATATACGTGCCTTTATTACATATTTAAGCCAACCGCGTAAAAGTTGGAGTATTGAAAAAGGCCGGAACACTTTTCAAATTAGTTTTCGAGGGTTTTACGAGCGGATACACTATGAAATACGCGCCGCCACGGTCACAAGTATTCGTTTTCGTGTTTCGCTTCCGTTTTCAATAAAATATCTCATACTATGTATGTATGTATCACGTATATGAGATTCACGATAGTCTATCGATCGCGTTTTTACATTTAACGTAAAATATATTTATTTATATGTATAATAGTATACATAGATATGATATAAACTCATTGTGTTTGTCAATAAACAGTTACATTTCTATATGTAACTTCGTATATGGAATGCCGTCATTGTCTGAGTTTCATTTGCAACAGATTCCTTCGTATTGCGATGTGCACCAGTGGACGAGTATCGCAGTACACTTACGTATGCATATGCATAAGTGCACGCGGAAAGAACGCGAGATTTTTTTTTTTTTAGCAAATTGAGAATACGAGGGTGCATCTGCACGATGCTATGCAGTCTGAGAGAAGAGCTCTCGAGACACCAGACACCCTTTCGACTGTCTGGCCGCAAGGCAACTTCGCCTAAGTGGCGAGCATTATATCTCTCTCTCGTGTCTCAATAGCAGTTCATGCACGCAGCTTCGCTGTTAGCTAGCGTGCAAAGCTGCTTTTCTTTGGCACCCAAAGCGCGATAGGGATAGGGGATGCGAGAAGAATCACGGTGTGCCGTTCACCCTCTTTCACGAGGCATCGACAGGCACGATCAGGCGTATCATTTTCCGTCGCACTTCAGAATGGTTTTGAGAGTGTTTCCACCTGATGAATGATAAAACTTTTCTTTGCAGCGAGATTGAATATCGGAAATGCTGAGGATATTCGCGAAACAATTGCGATAAAATCCATCTATATTCCACGATATCTCATTGTTTGTTACTCAAATCTTTTTCATGTTTATAATCAGAAAATATTAAGAAATTGTAAAGTAAAAACTATATTTTCTTTTCTCATTGAATTTCCCGTTGTACTAATAATATTCCATCAAAATGTATAAAGTGTCGCAGACGCTTTCGACATGGAAGTATGCAACAAGATCCCCTTTTAAAGTTTCGAAACGCGTTACACAAGAAAGCGGTTTACGATTGTGCGAAATACGTTTCGCGTCGCCTCGATAGAAATCCCATCAAAGTTTACGATAAAAGTTTGCGATCTTGAAATTTTTGGCCACTAGAGAGGTCGCCGCCCTTATATCGGGGTAATAGCGGCAGTCGGACTGTGAAAAAAAGCCCGCGTCCCTCTTGGGAAATAAACCCGCGTCCCTCCGACGTCCCTAAAGTATTTCTGCGAAATACGGCCGGCAAGAAAAGATTAAACTGATCGAGCTCGCTTATACACTGCACATACGTCTCTTAATATATGAATGGAGAATTATATAAGCATTTAATTATTATTTATATAATGTATAAAAATAATTCGTGTGATAATTATATTGTATGGAACAAAAAATAATTGAAATGTATTATTATGCACAGTTTTTATATCTATATTACCTGTCTGTTATATATTGATCGGCTATGTTGAAAATATACTTGATGAAATTTTACCGCAAAACAACAAGAAATATTATTAATTTACTATCAGCAGGACCTTTAGTCTATACAGTTATGAGTTTAAATACACAGATTGAAAACTATATTTCCCTCGAGTCCGAGAGCAATATTAAAGAGACGTCGATCATAATTCCGACTAAAAGGTTTAGTAAATTATCACAAAAAAGAAGAATTTGATATAGACTGTTGGAGCAAAAGAGGGGTGGCCATCGAGGTACACTATAGACGGATTAGGGGAAGTTCAATTATGTGAGAGCACGTAAAATACGTGATTTTTATCCTGACATGACATACAGGTTTGCGACAGGAAGGGAAAGGTTGCACCTGATCAAAAGAAGGGATTTAATGCGACAATTTGAATGATATGACGTACGGTGAAGAAGGTAGCAGAGAACGAGCAGGAAAAAGAGAAAACGATTTGAGAAGGGATTCAATAAGCTGACGACAGAGTCGAGAGATAGATAATCAAGGCCAGACTAGAGGTGAATCAGACATGTTAACCAATCAATCGTGTTGGTATCATCGAGCGGTGCGTCGCGCATGGAGGACTCAGTAGAGGGTTCGGTGTAACGCATCAGAATACCGAAAGGGGGTAGTTGAGTTTGAGGGGTGGTGGGGTACAGACTGATGACGCTCGGGTAATTACCTAGACCCGATCTAGCTACAGTCCCCCGAGCGTAATCACCAACACGTGCTGCTATTAGGCGTGCACGTGATCGATGTGTCGAGTCCACTGGAAAATCGGTCGCTCGTCAGGTCCAGATTTTATCGAGAGGAAAGGAGACTCAGTCGCTCCTATTCGCTCGTATCCCCTGAATTTGTCCATCGTTCAAGTTTGAGGATAGA